CAATAATACACTTCCAAATCCATGTTAGCAACTCTCCTACACGTCTACATTTGCCAACCATTACAAAGAAATGCATTCCTCACAAGTCAACATCCATATTATACTCAAGCAAAGCACAACCAATTTACATAACACACCCAAGATCCTTTCAATGATATAAAGCTACTCAAAACATAGAAATTATGCATTCACTTTTCAAGGTTTCCTTTCCCACAACAAGCATGTAAGTAAACAATCGCATTACGGGGGTTACAATTCTCCCCTCCTTAAATAAAATTTCGTCCTCGAAATTTACTCTCATGAGGAATACACGAATATGAGTTCTCTTATATGTCTCACAATACATTCTCTAGTGCACACTCTTCATAAATAATAAATTCCCTATAAGAGTGGCTACCATCAATCTACACTCCAAAGGATTCTAACTCCCTATTAGCATGTTTTGTAATTGTATGGAAAACAAAAGAATGTGTAAAACCAGGATCAATCAAGTTATGAGCCTCACGCTCAAAGTTAAACAACATACCCTTGACCACATCTGGAGTGGTTCGCGTATCTTGTTGTGTCAGAGCAAACACACGAGCCTAAGCTTAAGGTCGTCCTAGTCCCCTCCGTCGGCCATTATTACTACTCACAACATTGGCTTGCTCTCTAGCACAAGCTGTAATACCTATCTAAGTCTAGGGCCTCTACTACACTTGATACTGACCACTACTCCCTTGGAAGTTCCGTTGAATCGATCTCTATGTGATATTCCCAACTTGAGCTAGAATAGGGCAATCCCTTTTTAGGTGGTCCATATGTCCACAATGATAACAATCGGGCACTCCTTTCTAGCACTACCCTGCATGGTATCTTCCACAATTATTGCACTGTATCCACTGACCCCCACTTGTACCGATACTTTGTTGCCTATTGTCATGGGATCCTCTATTCCAAATGCTACTAGTCATTAATCGCTGTCATTGATTTTGTCTCTGGTTTTGACTTGAACCACTTGTTGTTCCAGAAAAACTACCCTCACTATTCTGTGTTTTATTACTAGGGCCACCAACTGACCAATCCTGATCATTACGTTTATGCCTCTGTGGCTCTCTCCTATCAAACTTTCCCGGACTATTCTCAACTCTCATAGCCACCTCAGTCAACTTCCCAAACTCCGTGTAGGACTTTACGATCACCATTGTTCTAATTCTTCCTCGGAGGCCCTCTTCAAATTTCTTACACTTTTCCCTTTCATCTCCGACAATCAATGGGGCAAGTTGGAAGAGCTCAAAAAACCTTTTCATGTATTCTTCCACCGACATGTTTCCTTGAGTTAACCTAATGAACTTGCTCTTCTTAGCATCTTGGTAAAATCAGGAGTTATAATGGTCGAAGAATTCTTGGTGAAAGTTCACCTAAGTGATTGTCGTAGAAGCCCCATACTTATGTCGTTCCGACCTCTACCAATGGTGGTATGCTCTACCCTCTAGTAGGAACGTAGCAAATCGATGAGCCTCAATGCACTCCATTACATCAAACACCTATTCAATCCTATCCATCCAAAACTTCGCAACCATGGGATCTCTAGTCCTATCAAATTTGGTGGCCCCCAACTTCATTGCTCTCTGTATGGTGTTTTCACCTCCTTGACGCCCAATCCTGAACCACTCTTGTAACCAACTGAGCTAACCTATCAATTGTATGCTCCTCATTAATCTTCTCACTTTGGGGCTCTACATTAGGTTCAAAGACTGGTTCTACCCCTACATTAGGATCATGGGTATCTGGCTCTACATATGGTCCCTGAGGTTTTGGCATGTGGGTAATTGACTCTTCTACTACTTCCTTTCTAGGCTCACTCACCCTCCTGTGTACTTGAGGAACTAACAATTCCCTCACATATCTCGTGCAAGGTTGGCCACGTCAACTCATTCCGATATCTACAAAATGTAAACAAATTTTTCTTTCTTAAAAACAACATTTCATGCATGCAATTAATTTTCTTTCTTTACGCAAAAACTGCATGCATTATGAAAATGCCCTTTAAAATTAGAAACCTAGCTCTATTACCAAGTTGACACGACCCATCTAGACCCTCCCTATCCGACAGAATCCACGCGCTCCCATGAGACTCGAGTGACTTAGATGTGCCGTGTGAAAATCTGTAAAACCTGGAAAACCTATTTTCTAAATACACTTTCATAAAACCATTCTCTTATTTTCATCATATATATATACTTTTTGCAAAATCTGAGACATTCGGTATCAGGCCTCATATGACACAACACAAAACATGAGGCATACGCATAATGTGAATACATGAGTTGTTAAAGAAAATATACAATGCATCAATAATACACTTCCAAATTCATGTCTGCAACTCTCCTACACTTCCACATTTGCTAAGCATTACATATATGCATTCCCCACAAGTCAACATCCATATTATACTCATGCAAAGCACAACCAATTAACATAACACAATCAAGATCCCTTACACAATATAAGCAACTCAAAACATAGAAATTATGCATTCCCTTTTCAAGGTTTCCTTTCCCACAACAAGCATCTAAGTAAACAATCACATTATGGCCTTTACATTGGCTGTCCGCTAGTATATCATAACTAAATGCATAAACCATATTTGATCAAAGCAAAATTAAAGCAACTAAAAATACAAAACCAGATATAAATCAAGGTCAAGCAACTCTGGCTTTCCCATTAAAGTAGGAGATACTTCTATTGCACCACTCATGTGGTTCTCAAGTACTTCTGATTTTAACGAAAATAAATTAATAAATTGTTGCAGCAACGCTTTAATTTCACAATCTACACTAAAATAATAATAATAATAATAATAATAAACAGCAAAAACAAAGAATCTGAAAAAACCCAATAATTGAAGAAATAAATAATCCATTAATACAAACCCGCCAACTGTAATTGTTTGAATATATAGACCGAACTTGAAAATGACAATCCAACTCATAACGTAGACTCAATATATATTAAAACCGTAAAATAGAATAAATGAAATATTTCAAAATTCACCAGCTTCTAAACCATACCCTAAAAATGAACTCAACAAACCAAAACGATATTTAGTATATTATATAGAAATTTAAAAGTCTTCAATGACCATTAAATAATCTCCATCCATTTATACACCGGTTCTTATATGAACAACCATAATTTGTGTAATTAGTGAAGGTAAAAATACTTTTCGGCCCCTGTGGAGGAAGATTTGGAGCTGAAAACTTCTTCGTTCTCCTTCTGTTGAAAAAAGTGAAAAATGTCCACAGCAACTAACTCAATTCCGGCGCCTACCACCAGCAGCACCCTCGGCGGCAGACAACTAGCCCAAGGTACTGGAGCAGACCCGCCTGAGTCGATCCGTGCTTTGGAGTTCCTGCCGGCCGCAATGTAGAGTTAATAGCGGAGGCGCCATAACAGCAAAGTTGATGGGAGGAGATGGCCGGTGGCAGAGAGGAAGCTGTGCCGGTGGTGGAGCTGGCGGAGATGGCCGAAAGAAATCACGCGTAAATTCTTTTAATTTATGAACACGAGGTTAGTAATCGACTGTTTCAGTGCTCATGTTGAATTCATTAGAATGAAGAAGAAGCTTGTAGACCCCGGTTTTGAAGTAAAACAGAGGGTTTCCTTGAGGAATATTCAAGTTCAATGAGACAATACGTTGTCGTTTATTATGGGAGAAAAAGATAATAATAAAATTTGGTTGGGCTATCTGTCTGCCGTAGTGGCAACTGGGTTACTGTCCACCTGATTTCTCAAAACTTCAAATAATGAGTCTGAGTTGAACTGAATACGGGTTAAATATTTCACATCTTAAACCAATTCAATTAATCAAGAGAATAAATATATAGAGCAGCAGGGTCATTTCAAGAATATTTGTGATCCTAGGACAGAGTTACTTTAGAGGTCTTCTACTGATATAAGCATATATTAAAAAAATTATTTCAATTTTTTTTTTTTTTTTTTTTACACCTTTTGATACGCAAAATCATTAAGAGGTGGACGACGATCGAAGGGCTAATGTGGTCAGGTTGCTGGGGGGTTTTGGAGAGCAAATGTTGGAGAAGGGATGGGTAGTGAAATGGGTGATTTTCAATGCCACGATTGACTGAAAAAGGCTTGAGAAGTTATAGCCCAAAAGGTATCTGTGGTCGGCAATTGACGGAGTAAACAGATGAGGTACAATAGGGGTTTTGATGAGAGGGTTGAGGGGAGGAAGATGGTGGTGTCGGGGAAGGCCAACAACGTCAAGTATATGCCAAAAATGGCTGTCGCACCTTGTGGAGTAGGGTTGCAAGATTCGTAAAAAAATCAGTCAGATCGAGGGCTATCAAGGTTAGGAAAACACCTGAGAAATGATAAAGTGATGATTCCAATCGATTTTGGTGAGAAAATCGATCGAAATCAGCTCCAAATGTTTGATGATGGAAGAAGGGTGCTAATGATTTATGTGAATGTCTAATTTTGGGATGGAATTGGGGGTGAGTAATTTGAGATATGTAAATGACTATTTTAGTCTTTCATTGTTAAAAGAAATTCAATATGTTAATTTAGGGGTGTAAATTAGAATATATAAAGCTAAAGATACAAACTTGCTATTTCGTCAAACTTTGGGTGGGAATATATGTAAAAAGTTTATAATAAATTTGGGTCTTTTGACTTTTTATTTTTTAGGGCCCTTAGCCTAGATGAGAATTTATACACTATTTTCATTTTTATAATAGGGAGAATGATATTTTCCCATCCAAGGTTTGGCGAAATGACACTTTCCCACCTATTAAGTTTCAAAATGATACTTTCCCACCCATTGTTATGTTCCGTTAGGAAAATCCATTCTGAAGAAGGGTAGGATAGTCAATTTATGCGAGTCTTGCATCAGACTTTGTTGCACTCTCTCTTCATCTTAGTAAATTCTCTAACCCTCCCTGTTTATTAGAAAAAAAAGTCGTAAAAAAAAAAAAAAAAAAAAAAAAAAAAAAGAACTGAAACGATTCGATCTCAGCAATGGCTAACATTAATCTCCCCCGACGAATCATCAAGGTTACGCTCTCTTTCTCCCTATTTTGACTGGTTTCTCTATTTCTCATATCTCTTTCGTTTAAAAAACCGATTCAATTTCGTCAATTGAAGTCTGTATAGGAAGGATTACTTGTTCTTTCAGTTTGATGCTCTAATTTCCTTCGATTCTCTCTCTTATTGATTGCATTGATTGTGTAATATAGGAACTTTAATTGATTGAGATCTTTGTTGTCGATTGGACGCTGAAATTAGGATTGTGTTGTTGATGATTTTGTGTTGTGTTTTGAACTTGTTTTTTGTTGATCCAAACAGGAAACTCAACTTCTTCTTAATGAACCAGGTGAATACTTGATTACTTCTCTGATTATTTTGTTTATTTATTTTTGAGTTCTGTGCGTTTAGGTTTGTTTGGTTGGGTTTCGGTGGAGTTGATTTTGTGGTTTTTGGATACAGCTACCGGGATAAGTGCTTCACCGTCGGAGGTTAATATGCGGTACTTCAATGTGATGATTTTTGGCCCAACACAATTGCCATAAGAAGTAAATTGCTGAGTGATATATTGCTTTTAATGTCACAGAATTCTTATGGTTGCTTTGGTTATGTAAAGTTGGAATCCCCATTTGGGTTCTAGAGGTTTGTTCACGAAGACTGTCTATCATAGACTTTGAACATATCTTTCATGTCGTTCTCTATTAGATTTTACCTACTCCGTATAGTGCTTTTTGGCTGAAGTTGTGTGATGAAAGTGGGTGGTGAATTTCGCTTATTGCTTCTAGTCATTTATCTGGCGTGTGATGAAAGCCTCAATCAAGCTGTTTCTTATGCAATTCTGGATTGTTTCAGGCAACTCCAAAACTCAGTGAAGACAAGGTGAAGCAATGCGTTGACGCTAAATTAAATGGAGATTACCCTCTTGAGGCAGTTGCAGAGGTATTGGAGATGGTAACTTTGGCTGAAAATAATACATCAAATTCGAGGTTTCTTGGTGTAAGAGCAAAAGATTGTGAAGAAGGTTTTGAAGATCCAAAAAGCAAAGGAAAAACAAATTTCAAGGAGCTAAAAAGTGGGAGGGTGGAAGCAAAACTTTTTGGATTTTAAGAAATGAATGAGAAACTGGAAAAGTTGCTTTCTTTGTATTGAATTCTCTGTTTTTAGTAGGTTTGAATTAACAAAATTTCTTATATATATGCATTGTAAATTTACAATTTGGATTCTTATTTAAGCAAATTAGTAATGCTAAGTTGCTACTGCCGTGTGGTTGTTATTTTCTTGCTGCCATGTGGGTGGTTGTGGTGGGGTGTGGGGTTTTTTTTAGCCTTTTAATGCTGCTGCTGTGAGTTCTCCAGGTGCTAAGTTGTTGCTGGTGCGTGATTGCACTTGTCTTTGCTGGCATTTTGTGCTTGAGTTTGTGGTCCTGCTCAAAGACTTTGTCTTTTCTGTCAGTTGTGGGATTTTTTTTTTTTCTTTTTTTTTTTTTTTTTTTTTTTTTTTTTTTTTTTTTTTCTCTTGTTTTGTTTTGCTGCGTTGGCGGCCTTGTGCCTTTGTAAAGGTTTTCTCCTTCTTGTTAGGGTTTCCTTTTCGTTTGGGACGCGTTGATGAGGGGTTATCCCCGGATGGCTGATTCTTTATCCTTACAATATTACCAATTATCTAAAAAAATTAGTAATGCTATTACTTAATTTTATTTGCGTTTAAATTGACAAAATTTAAATATAAATGTCAGTTTAATTGTAACAAAGGTTTCAAATTTTAAAAATCTAAAGTAATTTCATTGATTTAAAACATTATTTTTAATAAAAATTTAGAGGGAAAAATTTGATATATAGTTGAGGGCATAACAGAAATAATTGACTTTATTAATATGACATAAAATAATAAAAAAATTATTAAGTCAAATAATAAAGAATGTTTTTGTCTTTACAGTTAAATAATAACAGATTTTTTTAACAAAAAACATAACAATGGGTAGGAAAGTGTCGGAAAAAGTGTCATTTCATCAAACCTTGGGTGGGATCATGTCGTTCTCCCTTTATAATATATTCAAAAAATTCTAAAAAACTCGGGCCCCTATTTTGGGGGGTCTCACCTACTTACCCCTTGAGCCGGCCTAGTACAGTAGAGGAGAAATTACTCAATCAAAGTTAAGTATGATATTTAGATATTAATTGGAGAAAGAGAAGAAAAATAAAAAAATGATGGAGAAGCGAAGCATGGAAGTAGCTTCTGGCGGCGGTGGTGCATCGTCTTCTGGTGTTGTATCATCTGGCCATGGAGAAACATCGTTGGCTGGCATTGTGTCATCTCGTGGAGATATTCAGATGGCGGAAGATCTTCATACGACATGTCGAGAAATTAAGGGTGACTTACCAGAGAGTTTTGGAAGTTGCTTTGTGATATTACAAGAAATTAAAGGAACATTTTACCAAACACTTTGAAACAGAAATTGTATTCAATCACAAAGAACAGAGGTTATATATATATTGCCCCTTGTTTAATTCATGCATGCAGTAGATGGATCACAAGTTTGTAGGGTTTTTTCCCAGCTGGGTGAGAGTGATATTTGGTAGCTGAATATTTAAAATTCTCTATAAGCTACTGTTTTCAGAAATGGAGGACGTAACAATGTCTCATTGAATGATGAGAGAGGACGACTAGAGGCAGGCAGCTAGGCAATTAATAGAGACACCAAGCCAATTTGTCTAAAGTCTATTCATGCCATGCAACCAAACAAAATAAAATTTCTGTACTGTATCTTGATCAGATGTCACTCAACTTAATTGATTACTTTTAACTATAAGAAATTAGAGGTTGGTAATTAAAAAGAATCCAAATGAAATAATAATATCATTTAATTTTGTTAGACTTAGTTAAATAAAATAGAAGATTCCTCAGTTTTCTTTTTTAATTAAACAAATTCAAATCCAAAATTTACGAAGAAATGAAGACATAAAAATATTTGTGGTTGAAGCTTTGTTTTTGTCACAAGTCTTTGAACAACTTTATCTCAAGAGAAGAGTCTGATAAATTCGCGAAAGAAATGATTAATTAAAGTGTAAAATCATTAGATTGATGTTCAAAACACTATTCTGGCCTTCATTAACCGATCGAGCTAGCTGGATCCTCCTCTGTGATTGTTTTTAACATCTCCAAGAGTTTATTCTTGTCCCATGAGATACGTTCTGCAGTGAACGTTGTTTTTATTCTTTCTGTCAAAACCTTCACATCCAGTTTTCCTTCCAGAGCTTCTAGTATCTGCTTGGAATATAATGCAATCAAAAGAGTTATAAGCCAGTTTTCAATTCATAAAACTTAATTGAGAGCTAAAAGTAATTATTTAGCACTTAGTTTAAGTACCCGGCTCATCTGCGTCCGATCCCTTGCTGGATAACAAACACAGGCAGCAGCACAATTAAGCATCCGAAATTTCCCTAACTTTGGATCGGTATAAACAGCGTTTATGTTGTTGTCTTTCACAGATTTCTGAGCATCGGTTTTGCCTGAAAGTTCATAAAAGTCCGTGTTATATTTACTCTGCAAACAATGCAAACTGACTCCATTCTTGCCCCCTTAATTACCAATGCAGAAACTAAATAAATATCTATCAAATTATTTACACACAAAACTGCAAGTTGGGTAACTTCTATCACACGATTCCTAAAAGACCGGAGCTGATGAGACAGAATATGCACCTTGACAGCCAAGTTTTCATAATCAGGATCAGAAGGCTTAATTTTATTCAGAGGTAGGCATCCAGTAATCAACTCCAGAAGCAGCATTCCAAAGGAGTAGACATCTGACTTCTCATTTAACTTAATCCCGGAGGTGAAAAAATCTGGATCTATGTAACTGCATTCAGAGAAAATGCATCATGAGAAGTTACACAGGATTGTTCAAGACAATATAATATATATACAAGTTATGAACAACAGAAAACAGTTTTACAACAATGACATATAAAGCAGTGTATTTTACCCAATAGTGCCAGTAGGTTTAGTGCTGATATGAGTTTTATCAGCTAAAATGGACCTAGCAAGTCCAAAATCTGCCACCTGAGGAAAAACATGCAAGTCGATTCATTCATCATACGTAGAAGCCAACATAAAAAGCACACAGATGTTGAGCACTGAAGTGAAAATAAATTCAATCTTTATCTGCAGTCTGAAATAACCATTACTTTATAAAAAGGCAGTGCAAACATATTCAAGCATTAGGCAGTACAAATCATACCTTGGCTTCCCATTTTTCATCCAAAAGAATGTTAGCTGACTTGATATCACGATGCACGATCCTGGTCCAGCTGCTGAGGATATATACATTTACATCATATTTGAAATTTCAAAACAGTATCTTACATCTTAAAATTTTCTTAAATTCAAGAAAACAGTACTATCAAAATAATACTCACAGCCATCATGCAGATGAACCAATCCTTTTGCTGTGCCTACCGCAATATTGAATCTTTTTTTCCAGTGCAAAATTTCCTTATCGTTCTCTGAAATGTTATCATAATCTAATTAGACAACTTCCTTATCGTTCTCTGAAATGTTATCATAATCTAATTAGACAACAGTACCACAGTTTAAAAAGCACAAAATGCAGTGACACTTTCTAAATTCACATTGATAAATCTTGTAATTCCCATAAAATATATACGATTGTTATTCAGACGTGAATGAATTCAGAAATATTAATCACCAATTTCTATAATTTCAATTTTTTAACCATAGTAATATCTAATAACAGAAAGGACAAACCATGTAAAATAAAGTATAGGCTTTTGTTCGAAACGAACTCTAATACAAGCAGTCTCTGAGTCTCCGAAATGCAGTATCCAACTAGATGTACAAGATGTTTGTGGTGGATACCGCTAATGATTTCTATCTCTTTAAGAAATTCTCTCCCCCAGTTGCCGTTCGGCTATTTGCTGTTTTATAGAAACGATTCCCCCATCTCGAAGGACTCCTTTATGGACAATGCCAAAACCACCTCTACCAAGTAATTTGTCTTTGGAGAAATTATTTGCAGCCTCCTTTAGTTCTTCATAAGTAAATTTTTTCGGCATTGCAAGGTTAGTGGGTGTTGGATGCTGTGCAATTCCAGCAGAAGATCCATCTGGGGAGACTACCAAAAAAAAAAAAAAAAAACCAATAATCAGGAGATGCCCGTTAATATATATATGGAATCCAAATATGAACACTTACCTGCTGCAGGAATCCGTTCTCGTTGCTGATGCTGCTGAAGTTCAATAGAAGTGTCACCTAGAGAGATTAAAAAAGAGTACTTAAATTGAGTTCATAAGTGAAGTTTCTCATAAGTTCACAAGTTCGTGTCTGGGACTTAAAACTTTCAAATGTTTTTATGTAAAATTGTTATAATTGATTCACCTACGCTTGCTTTAATTATATAATGATATGAAACTCAAAAGTTAATTCTGGTAGGGAAGGAGTTTCGCGCTGTGTTTTCGAATCTTTGTTTTCTACCAAAAATGAACCAAACAATTACAAGAAGAACAATAACCAAAACTATTAAACCACCCATAATTATTCCAAACAGTGCACCGCCTGAGGAGGAACTCGAGCCCTCAGATTGATCTTCAGCTGCAGGTTGCCACCCATCAACTACTTCCGGCTGTGGCGGCGTATATGATGCCGTCAGTGCACGACCACGAGAAGGACGCATTGGAGAACACATGATATTCTTAAAAGATAAGAAAACTGAAAGAGAAAATGGTAATCTGATTGTGGTCAATCACTAAAAGCAACAAGAGAGGTTAGCTAGCCTGTCGCTTGATTCAAGCGCTGCGTAAAATATATACATGGAGACCTTTACTTTTTTAGGGTTTTTGAAGTTGAATACAGAACGTGAAGTAGTTGAAGCTTGAAACTTTCAGAGAAGGAATGTTTGGAAAAAATATTTTTCCAAAAAGAGCTTTCTGTGTGCAATATTTTTCTAACACAAAAATATAAATTATTATAGACTTTGTGCTTGCTAGCTAGCTGATTGACTACCTTTTTCTTCTGTGTTTTATGTCGTTTAATTATTTCAATTAACTGACTCTTGTCGGTTTAACTTCCCACGAATTCATATTACGACTTTTACCGACCCAATGTTTGCCTTAAATGACACTTTCTCACTCAAAATTTATATTTTATTAATATCCAAAATGTAATTCATTTTTTCAGT